ATTAAAATATTTATACCAAAATACCCAAAGTGATTCAGCTCTTTAAAATATCCTATTATTGTCTAATTAGTAGTTTGCACAAAAACAAGTAACCTTTTACATTGCTCTTCTGAAAAATGATCAGACATTCAAACAGAAAGAGAATTTTAAAATTAAAAACATTTTTTTAATGACTGACCCCATCCAAATACTGCAGTAGGAAAGGCAATTTCAATGTGTCACTTCCAGAAAAAAAAATCTGTGTATGAATGTATTTGGTACATTACCAGCATGAAGTGAAATAAAAATCTCCTGCAATGTAAATTCAGGTATCAACAACGAGATCCAAAAGCATTGGTTTGAAATACAATACTCATATGAGGTAAAGGCAAATAAGATCTCCCCAGAGCCTTCAGACATTTATTTGTTGTCCTAAAAATGATTAATTATTATCCTAAGGTGCAAATCTTACCACTCAGTGACCTATATGCTATTTGGCTATTTATCTCCTTTAAATAAAATACCGTATAGGTTATAATGTACATATTAAAATCAAATATGAAAATACATATATGTGAAGGAGACATTAATTTAAATATCAATTATACTCATAATACAGAAATGTAAGAATGCTATTTGGTCATTTCGATTAGAAGCTGATATATTTGATCAAGGATATCCACATTCATATCAGCCTAAGGCAAATGTTTAAATATTTTTATTTTTACTTGAAGCTGGACTACAAACAGTATACATTATTGTTGATACTACTGGAATGCTCCCAATTAGAACTTACAGTGATAACACATGTTGTCTTTCTAATCTGGGTGATACCCTCAATGATTAACGTAAACCTACAAGTACCAGTCTGTAACTTACAGTAGCAGATAACTTGGTGACTGATTGTCATACGGTGCATCTACATCAATTTAGAACATCACTAGAGGACATAAAGGATGACAGTCTCTTACGGTCAGACTTGCTGTGTGAAGCCCTCGGCTCCTCCCTAAGGCTGGCCTGACACCTCTGCTGCCTGCCTCAGTTTAGGACATGGTGCAGTCTTCTTTGCCTTTGCCCTTCCCATCCCCTCTGCCTGCCTCTTCTCTGCCTTCTGAGTCGGACTCTTCCACCTCTCCTGCTGCCGACAAGTCATCGTTCTCTAGACTAACGCTGTCTAAAGCTTTCCTGACTGCCTGACTTGGATGTTCGGGCGTCACAGGCCTCTCTGTGCTTTCTGTTTGAGGGGCATCAGCAATGTCCTTGGAGGGACTTGTGTGATCGAGCAGGGAGCTGCTGTACACTTCATCCTCTGGCTCTAGGGGGCTGCTTCGCGTGGCACCATCTTTGGTAGCACCATCCTTTACAAGATGTTCATCTAACTCTTTATCATTAGCACTAGTGCCTGAGGACTGAATTGTGTCATCTTCAAAACTTAATGTGTCTCCATTGGTTATTACTTTACCTGCCTTTGTTTTTACGTCATCATCATCTTGATTAAGCTTTCTATCCAACTCAACGTTAGGATTTTCTGGACAATTAACATTTTCACCGCTTTCTGCTACAATTTCCTGGTCTGGATTTCTGGTCCCCTCTCTTTGTGCTTCGTCTCCTGGTTTCCTGTCAGTACATTTTACCTGTTCTTCCTTGACTTCACTTAAATCTGTGTCCTGGTAGGTTAACTCCTTCTTAACATCATTAACAGTTCCTACCGCTGCTGGTGACTTTTTCTTCTTGTTTTTCTTTTTCTTGCTCTTTGTCTTCTTCTGTGACGAGTCCAATGCCTCTCCCTGTTGGTCGCACTTTTCTTCATCGGGGTCTTTCCTATCTATGGGTTCGCTTTCGCTATCTACCGCCCTGAGATCTGCTATCTCCTGGCGGCTGCTCTTGGCTGCTGGACAACCAGGGAAGGTCTGGACTTCTGCCGGGCCTGGCTTCTCACCCCTTACTCCTGATTCTTCGTGTTCTCCTTCACGGTTCTCCCTACCTGCTCCTGCACTCTGAATTGGGACCTCCTTGGGCTCAGCTACTTCCTGGTTGGCGATTTCTTTCTCTAAACTGTGCCCTGTGCTTGGGTCCAACTCTTTAGGGGCATCTGCCACACATTTTTCATCATGACTTGCTGTGTCGCTGCTGTACTGTGGAGGACTTGAGGCCACTGTGCCCAATTGAGGCCCGACATTAGCTGCCCCTGCCTCTTCCACATTCTCTGTCTGGTTTTCACTTCGCCCCACAGTGTCTGTACTGCTCACCCTTTCAACCTCAGACACTTGCAAAGGAACAGACTCCTGACACGGTTTTTGGCTAACCTCTTGTATTTCTCTTTCCTGCTTTTCTACAGATTCTTTACCTTGGTTTTGGATATCCAAGGCATTACAACTGTCCTGCCCACTCACAGGCCCTGGGACTTCACTATCTAAATCACTCAGACAGCTGGACTGCTCAAGAGAGGCTCCAGTCCCATCATCTGGCATGTTTACGACCTCACGTGACTCAACCTGCTCTGTACTTGCAGGGAAGGAAGTGTGCTCTAGAGTCTGGCTTTCAACCCGTTCCTCATATTCAGCACTCGCTAACGTTCCTAGGGATGGGGCGTTGTCTTCGTGCGATTTCTGCTCCTCGGTATTTTCACCAGGATGTAATACCTCTATGTCCACACACTCCTGTACTGTGTCCTCTTTGTGCTGTTCTTGCTCAGAATTCTGCAAGATTTCTTTTTTCCCCACATTCTCCACAATTTCATTTTTCACCTCCACTTCAGTGGCTCTTCCTAAAAGACCATTGAGAAAATTGAAGGGACCCCATGATGTGGTGACCACTTAATATATATCAAAATGTAAACACATATTGTAATTACCACCCTACCCTATTCCTAAAAGAGAGAGTGAGTCATCAAAGAGTCATATGAAACAGAAGCCTTTGCCAGTTCTGTGCGGCAAAGCAGCGATTGCATTAGTGAATTTATGCTCAGCACAGGCCACTGCCACCACCGCAGAGGCAAGAAGGGCTGCTGGTGCCACCTGTGTGAACTGTGTTTTAAAAGTGAAGTCACATATTTAACTAGTAGAAAGAGCTCTGAATCAGGCAGCCAAACAATTCAAAGTGATGGGTTTAAGAATGGATTTACTCCCATTCTCATTTCTAAATGCACACCTTAACAAATCATACTTTTTCAGCTGTCAAACTGCACTGAATATCACACAGCCCTAAAAGCAGCCTTGAAATAATTAAAAAACAAAAAAATCCATTCAATTCACTTTTAGAAACTCAGCCTCAAGGGCAATGTTAAGGAAGATACTTTTGAAATAGCTCACATAAGGTAAAAAGAAATCCATCTTCCACCACCCAACCACTGTCTTCCTGAGAAAATCTCCTGACTCTGGGCCCTAAATACCTCTGCTCCATTCCCCAAGGGAACAGGGAGAGACCTCCAGCCAGAGGCAAATGATTAAGATCAAGATGACTGCTTAATCAAACGATAAATTATTCATCAGTTGAAGAAACATACTACTGCTTTGGAATGAACAGTTATATTTTGGATTCTCCAAAGAAACCAAACTCCAGCAAGTTAGATACCGTGTTATTGAAAGTCAAAGCCAGATAATTTTATAACCCAGTGGACTCCACATTGGAGTGTACTTAACCCAGGGAAAATAAGGTAAATATTAGCATTTCTACTTAGTTTTACTTCACCCTTTAAAATTTTTCTATTATTGCCTGTTTTATAATGTACATTTTATATTAATGAAATAGTATACATATAAAAGTAAAAATAAACATATATACATATATAGGGAAGTTCCCACAATTCTGTACTAATGGGATATGCGATCAAAAACAACATCTGGAGACCATTTGCAAAACTGGTATTTCTGGTTCTTTAAGCATTTCACAATGGTTATCAAAGATTTATAAAATGTATATTTGAATAAGAGCAGCATGATCAAATTTCTAGCTGCTTAGGTAGCTAATATAAAGGTACAATGGAAATTAATTTATCTTTTTTCAACAACTTTCATACAATCACAAGAGCCATGTTTCTCTAACAGTCATAAAGACAATGAGCCCTGGAAAGCAAGTCCTGAGAAGCTGGGGCCTACGTGTTCCCACATCTCCACAAATTAAAAAAAAAAAAAAGAAAGAAACCTTCTAAATGGAAATGAAAAGTCACAGACCCTGACCTTGCTCCAGCCTCCCTGTGCAAAGCTGGAATGCCACTGGCACCAGCCACGGGCGAGGCCTCCCTGGCGGACTGCAGCTGCGGGCTGCGCGCTGGAATCTGCAGGCTTATCCCCAGCCGACTCTTACGGCAGATACAGATCAGTGAGTCTTTTCAGATCATTAAAAATTGTCTGAAATATTCCTACAATCTACTGGATTCCCCCATCTTATATTCTTTCAGAAGCAAAATCGTGGCATCCAAAGGAGGACCACGTCTGACAAGGGTGGGTGAATTCCAGCTCTCCCTGGGAGGCTCCTCCTCACGACTGTCTACCTCGGGAGCTCAATCAAGAACGGCAATGTCACGAGCGCCATCGTGCTACTCATGGACACCTCATTCCCTCACAACGCTGGATGGTGGACAGGGTGTGCCATGCTGGCTTGCAAATACCGTCACTGTCTCGACAGCCTTTACTGTCCTGACCTTCTGACGCTTCTACACAGAATAAGTTAAAAAGATACACTTGGTCCATAGCTGAGGAAAACCAAACAGCATTCTCAGCACTGGTGCAGAATTTTGAGGCTGTTTTCCTTGCAGTCACAGCCTCACGGGGAGCTTTGAGAAGCCAGGGACACGCACACTCAAGCCATCGGTGGTGAGCATGGAACAGAGATGTGTGCCAGACAACACATGTGCATGACCGCGCCGTTTGGCTGGAGATTCTCATGAGGTGACAGGACAGATGGCATGCTGCGTGACTGTTAATTGATCAGTGATGGCTACTCCAATACTAACAGTGCATGGAAAGTGAATCGATGCTGATTTGAAAGGTGGAAAGATCCGAAAGAGAACAGATACTTACCTAGTGTCCCATCCCCGGTCGACTTGAAGGTGTTTAATTCTTTCGTCATCTTGGTAGTTTCTTGGTATCCGACATTATTAAGAGTGTCTGAAGTCTCTCCATTGGTAGCTATTTCTGAATTTAGGATTATTCCATGTTTCTGGAAACAAAAACAGGCTCATCAGAATACTCAGTGATATAAGGTTAAATTCTGTTTTATTAATAACAATAAAAAAGGAAACTATTTTTCCTGAATGGCGGATAATGCTACAGAGACAAGGCAGTGCTGGGCACCATACTCGTAAATACCCTGTCAACACACACAGATCTGCAATGCCTTCCTCCAAAGGCCACTTCTTTCTCATGTGTTCCAATCTATGACTTCATTTGCTGGTGACAACATACTTTCACAGCAGGCACCGTTTGAACTAGAGGCAATGGCCTGTGGGCTGCCACAAGGTGGAGCATCAAGAAAATCCCTGTAAAGTGACCTTTTATTTAAAAACCTGGTTGCATTCTTTAAAAGGAGAGACTGATATAAAGAAAGAAATATGTATGTGTCCTGAAAGGAAAGAACAAAACTTACGTTATAGAAGGAATTAAGAGATGGCTAGAAGGTTTGGTATATTCGAAAAGAAATATAATTCATGCCTGCTACATAGTGAGACACTGTGAAAACAGCTACACTTCACAACTCCAGGACCCCTCCTTCACCCATGGCTGTTCCTGCCCACGCTTTCTCTTGTGCACGAGGAATTCCGCCACGCTGTGCTCACAGCCTTAGTGAGAAGCACCACGATGACTCTTAGCTCTAACCCTGACCCTGCTGGCTTACTGCTTGGGCTTTGACCCCAGAATACAAGCTTCAGACACAGACAGGTTTCCACGAATATTCAGGAATTTGCCTGTGGCCATACCCTCTCTCAACACTACCTGAGAGTGCACTTGGAGCATGGCCTGCTGCCACCCTTGGTTTTTTACTCTGGATCAAGCCAGCGCTGAAGGCCCCTGGACATGGCCCACAGAGGACATGGAACTATCCTCCTCCTATAATCAAGTGGGTCTCCAAGTCTAATTAGTGTGGGCCTTGCCTATACCACTCATCCAAGACACTGTTCAGCTAGAGAAGTCCTCAAATTTGAGGCTTTAATAGAAAGAAACAAATAAATTGTCTAACTCTGAGTCGTGTCCTAGAGAATTTACTAATGAATGTGAGAAAAAATTAGATAATATATCAAAAAATATATATATATATATCAAAAACTCTTAGACATCAGAGCCACTGTGATCAGTTATACTTGTGAACATCTAAAGGTGTGGACATAACCCACTGAATCTACATTTACTATATGTCTCGTCAGTGTCAGTTAACCTAAAATTTGAATTTATTAACAGAACTAAAATCAACGACATGAAACTAATTAACGCCAGTATATACACATATTTATAGAATCCCAGAATTTGCTGCTGTCATTTGGATTTTTTTAAAACTGTACTTTGGCTTCATACCTTCAATTCCTCTTTCAGCATGACTACTTCTTCTCTAAGATCATCTCGTTCACTCCTTATGGAATCAAAGAACTCCTTCTGCCTCTCTAATGCCTGAGTGTGCGGCAGAGCAAAGAGAAAGGAGATCGGCACGGGTGAGCAGGTTACTTCAGAAGCAGGAATGAGAAGTAGGCTCCTATCTACTTGCAAAACACTGACAGACTTAAGGCACTGTTAGAGAGACTGCTTAAAGACACAAACAAAATGCACGTATGAAGCTTTGCACTTAGTTTATGCAACCCAAGAAATGTCACAGTCACGCTCCCTGAAAGACATTGGCACTTCAAAACACATGAGCACAGCACAAGGCACCGGAGGCCACTTTATGTGCATCATTTTCTAGGTCAGATTGTGGTTTCGCAGCACATGTTAGAGTTACCGAAGGCCGCACCCATCTAAACGAGGGATAAAGGAAGAACATGGAGGAGTACTTAGGTGCCCCCAAATGACAACCGTGCTAGCAATTCAGACTATTTTTATACATCGATTCTCAGCATTTGTTGTCACAGATAAACATAAAGTGGTCCAAAAGCAAATGCATACATGTGCACACACTTACACGCACATGCACAGTCCTAACTAAGCGTTGATGAATGTATCAAAGTGGAAACTCGGTGCAGCTTCATGATGTAAATGTGCCGATGATGGGCTCAAGCTTCTCTAGAGCTTCATCAGAGCTATGTCGTGTGACTTGCTATTTTCTGGAGACCATTTGTCATTACGAATCATAGAGGGTACTTCGTGGGTTCCTTCCTTCCTGTTCTTCACTCCTAAACATCGATGGGTTGCCTCTTCTTTTCTTGTGGAGGAAAAGGGGTCTGAGGAGGCCTTTCCTGGGGAGATTTCAAGGTGCGACTATGTGGGGCACAGCCCCGCCACCTTGCAGCTTCCTCAAACCCCTTCGAGAAAAAGATCCAGGCAACACCGGATAGGGAATTCTAAGTCTGACCCTCAATACATCGGACCTGCCGCAGAGTGCCACCTCAGTCCACGTACTCCAGCGTGCACCTGCCCACTCATGGTGGGGCGGGGGAGCCACTCAGGTGGCCACAATGGACGAGAACATCCACGCCAGAAGTCAAGCTCCGATTCCGAGTCAGCGCATTCACAGCATCGCTAATTTTGTGTCACATGGGGCTGCATGCATCCTCATGCAAGCATTTCTGCAAACCAAAGATTCTGGAAGGACTCTAGGTGCTACACAGCCACCTGCTTGAGTAGAATTTCAAAGACTGGAGAGGCCTACCCCTATCTTTTTGTCTTTCCACTCTATTGTTTCCTGAAGATCAGAAATCTCCCTGATATAACTCGCCTGTTTCTGCTGTAGCTGTCGAATTTCCTGAGGAGAGGAACAGATAGAAAGAAAGCAGATACAGAGTTAAACAGGAAGAGAAAGCCCAGGGCCAGGTAACCTGAGAGCTCGAACAAGCACCTTTACCTCATCAGCCCTGAAGTCATCCTTTGCGTTCAGAATTTTTCCTTGTCCTACTTCCAGCCTTGAGAAGAGCAGGAAGAAAACCTGCTTGGGTGAAATTCTTACTTAAAAGCCACCAGTCTAAGTACTGATTAAGTTAAAAAATTAAAAACCAACCCTGTATTAGTTTCCCATTGCCACTGTAGCAAATTAACAAAAATTCAGGGGTTTAAAAGATCACACATTTACTCTCTTACGGTTCTGGAAGTCAGAAGCCCAAAATGAGCCTTTGGCTGAAATCAAGGCATGAGAGGCCTGGCTTCCTTTCTGGAGGCTCCAGAGAAGTCGGTTTCATCACCCTCTCCAGCTTCTAGAACCCACCCACTTTCTGTTGTCACATCTCCTACTTCTGCCGTTGACTTGCCTTCCTCTTATGAGGACCCTGTGATTAAGTCAGGCCCACCTGGATAATCCGGGATAATGTCCCCCTCAAGGCCTTTAATTTAATCACATCTGCAACGTCCCTTTGGCCATGTAAGGTAACATATTTACAATTTCCAGTGATTAGGATGTGGGCATCTTTGGGGGACCATTATTCTGTGTGTCACACCTCCCCAAACAAATGCAAGACCCCCAAAGAACAAGAATCTTCACCAATGAGAGGAACTGTTCCCTATAGAGAGTTAGCCTAGACTCTCAATTTTAAGAAAACTAAGAACTTTAGTAATTGCTATGGACTGAATTGTGTCTTCCCCCCAAACTCATATGGTAAAGCCCTAACCCCCAAATGTAACCATATTTGGAGATAGAGTCTTTAGGAGGCAATTAAAGTTAAATGAGGTCACAAGAGTGGGACCCTGGTCTGATGGGATTAGTGTCCTTATAAGATGTCAGAGAGATCAAGCTCTCGCCACCACGTGAGAATGCAGAAAGAAGGTGGCTGTCTCCAAGCCAGGAAAAGAGGCCTCACCAGAACCTGACCTGGAGCTGGGACTTCAGTCTCCACAACTGTGAAAAAATAAATCTCGGTTGTTGAAGCCACCCAGTCTATGGTATTGTGCTACAGCAGCCTAAGCTAAGATGGTAACGAGCTAACTGTATGTCACAAAGTCAAAAAAGAACAAGAGAAAGAGGAAAAATGTTACCTACCTCAAGCATTTCTTCTCTTTGCTTCAGGGCCTCTTTGACTTCAGCAAACTGAAACTGCAGTATACTGTGGGCGTGTTTTTCCCTTTCAAATTCCTGTAAAGAAAGAAAACAGCACTAAAGTTGTAGTGGAATAACATTTTCCTATCATTCTAGGTCATGTTCTCATGATTTACATTTCCCTTGGGACAAATAACCTGTTACTATGTTATCAGAAAATTTCAGGCATTTTTTAACAATGCAAATCCATTTCTCTGACTTTGTAGAAGATGCCCCGATGATTTACTGTAAAATTAACCTGAGGACTTGATGCAATTGGCAAGCATTGTCTGATTTCTGCACAGTTAAGCAATGCCCTGGGAGGGGTCCCTTTTCAGGGTATTTGCTGGAGTCCACGACTGTTCTAAGAGCTTGGGTGAGGCAGCCCTGCACACTGCTCACGAAAAAATTATCCCTGACTTAATATGTGATAAGGAATGCTCTTTGGGATGAAAAGGAGATAATACAGCCTACTTTGGTAAGCCTTTCTCATTAACATTTAGTGCAGTGCGCTAATTCTGTACTCTAGGGCTGCCGCTCAAGGACAAAACAGGAAAAACTGGGGGAAACAAGCAAAGAACTGGCAGTACAATGAGGCTCCCCCAAGTCCCACCTTCCCCTCTATGAGGCTCACTCCAGGAATCCCGCAATGTGGCTTTTCTGTTCTCCAGCTGGGTCACAGTGGCACAATCCCTTATGATGGTTTGGTACCAACTAACTTTGCTGACAGCTTAGGGGCAGCTGAATTCCCCTTCCCTAGATCTGTTAGGCAGGTCATTTGAGAAGGGACTTGACCTTACCTTCTGCTCATGCTAGCATCATCTGCTCACCCACTTTCGTTAGCCTGGGGGTGGCTGGTACCTCCCAGCTGTGACAAGGGCCTTCTTGTTGGGCTTTGCTTGGCCCTTGCCTGCACCTTGGGACTACATTATGGTACCACCCAGCTTCTCTGGGGTTAGGCCTAGGGGTTCATGGTCCATGTAATGATGGCTAAATTACGGCATTCTAGGAGTAGTTTGAATACATTATGGTACCCTCTGATCCACGTGGGGCTCAGAACGCGCTCTCTGCACCTACACTCCAACATGACGCTGGGGCTCACAAGGTTTTGTCTCCTTCAGAGTTCAGCTGTCAAGAACTTTGTGAAAAAAATTCTTCAGCTTCTAACTCAATTCTGTAGCAGTCAAAGGAGGAGGTCTCTGAGTTGTTAATGGCACCTTGGTTTAATTTAACCCTTGGGGTTTAGCAGATACAGCCAGTTAAAAAAACAAAAGACAACGACACTCACACATTAAATTTTCTGTTTATCTCAGAACCTCCGAAAAATTGGACAACAGCCTAGGGTTAGATAAGCCAACTAATTCCTAAAAATATGAAAAACAAATATTCCTGGATCTATATCTCACGATGGACATCTAAGCCTAGCCTTCACCAAGTCAGTCTCCTGTCATTAATTTTATCATATAGTCATGTTTTCTTCCAGTGTCATATATTAACAACAAATTAATTCCAGTAGTTCTTAATGAAAGCATAAATAAGACTCTACCGTTCTTTGAGCTTAATGAGGTATTTCATTCTTAAATGGAGTTTTCCCAACAGCAGAAAATAAATGAATATAATTTTCTTAAAAAATTTTTGATACTTGTAACTATTTCTCTATGGTATTAAGAGAGAACAAGGGCCGGCCCGGTGGCGCACTGCTACAGTGCGCCACTTGGGAGCGCAGCGGCGCTCCCACCGAGGGTTTGGATCTCACATACAGACCGGCCGCTCACTGGCTGAGCGAGGTGCGGTCGCAACACCGAGGGTTGCGATCCTGTTGCCGGTCCTGGTCCGGTACGGGCGCGACACTGAGGGTTGCGATCCGTTGCCGGTCACAAAAAAAGACAAAAAAGGAAAAAAAAAAAGAGAGAGAGAGAACAAAATAAGAACAAGAAAATGCATATTAACAGGAAAATCTTGAAGCATCTAATCATGCCTTATCCAAGCATGTTGGTTCTTTCATAGGCATTTTTCATGATTATGATTTTTACCTTACATGCAAAACTCTAATGTTCTCCTAGAAAAATTATCTCTAATTTACGTGTTGTAATTGTGCATAACAATATTTCAAGTTACTCAGCAAAGAGCACGGTATTCTTATCCTCAGACGTTTGGGTTTCACGGACAAGTAGAAAACCACTTTTTGCATATATATATAGCATATCCATGTACACGCAAAGCATATACACCTCCCCCCACATATGAGGGTGTGTGTGCATATTCTTTACAACACTAAAGCTTACTTTGTTTTTCTCTTCATACTGCCGCCTAGATTCAGCCAGTTGCTCTTCAAGCTCCAGTAACATGTCTTTTAGGGTATCAACCTGGTACATGAAGTTTGTCTTTTCATTGTCCAGCTGAGCGTTGGAAACCATAGCCTTCTTATATTTCTCTTCAACTTCTGCTAGTGAGTCCTGCAGAAACCAGATCATATTTTTGAAATTGCTGCAGTTAAGAAAACCCAAACAAAGATTAGTTCAGTATTCTTTTAAAAACAAACAACTCAGCCCTAAATTTAGACTTTATTTCTTAGAGCAAACGGATCAGAATAAGAAACAGAGATGATTTCAAATGTACAGAAATCCACCCTTTTCAATTTGATCAAATTCTCATCACTCAGAAAACTGGTTAGTATAGCGTGGGGGGAGAGCAATTTATTACTCATTAGAACAAAGGAGACGCACAGTACAAGCGTTTGGCCACAGAGGCAACAGAGTCCTTGATTCCATGGTTTAGTAGTCAGAGAATCTTCCCGCTGCAGTGTGTTAGGCTGTTCAACAGGTTTCTGAAGCAATCAATTGAGACATGTGACCAGAACCTGGGAAAGGGCCAGCGTGTGACGGCCAGTATAACTAAACACCTGCCACAAGCGACAGGAGACTATTGATTGCTCCTGTTCTGGCTTATGAACCAGGAAAGGATTTGTAGTAATTTCAGATTTTCCACTCATAGAAAATCTGAACAAGGCACACAGGTCTCACTGGGTAGGTCCTAGGAAGCCAAAGGTCATTCTTTTGGAACAACATCCCAGAGAAAGAGCCCTGTGAAATACACACAGTGATGCCCTCAAAGGTGAATCAGGGGGAGGCAGCTCCAGGAGAACAGAGAGAGCAGAATCACTGGGGTGCAAACTATCCACGGCTAAAGAGAGAGATTCGAGCTGCCTGGTCAGGTGTGTCAGGCACTGGTCTCATCTACATCTCCTAAACCAGGGCAACAGCTTCAGGTGTGACCAGTGGTAGCTGGGTTGGTTGAGTGGCTCCCTTTTTACATGAATTGAAAGCTAGAAGGGCCGAGCCGTGGCGCACTCAGGAGTGTGCAGCGCTGGGAGCGCAGCAGCGCTCCTGCCGCGGGTTCGGATCCTATATAGGGATGACCGGTGTGCTCCCAGTGCCCCCTGGCTGAGGGGGGGGGGGGTGGCCTCAAAAAGGAAAAAAAAAAAAAAAAAAAAGAAATAACTTGTTGGGCCGGCCCGGTGGTGCACTGCTACAGTGCGCCGCTTAGGAGCGCGGTAGAGC